AAGCGTAATTATCCTATGAATACATAGGTTCCTATGACCTTTACATAAGGCCATAAATAGAGACAATGGAGCGATAGCTGATCAACAAATGCGCCTATTGGTGTGGAGACAAACGAACATTGACTAACGTCGTGTCAACGCCACACTTGGAATCCTATTGGATTTGTTGAGTCATCAAGTGTGATGGAAGTAAGCAAACTTAGAATTTTCGTTGTTCAGCTTCAGGTTGGTCTTCCAACTTCAATGGGGACAATGTCCCACATAGTCGTCGCAATGACAATCGCAGAAAATTTGATAACCACGTAGGAGCCGTTGCTGAAATACGGAATACCTGTTAGATGATTGCCTGGCTACGCCACCATGGGTGACCATATGGAAGTGAAGCATAATTATCCTATGAATACATACGTTCCTATTACCTTTACATAATGCCATACATGGAGATGCTGAAGCGATAACTGATTAAAATATCCGCCTATGGGTGTGAAGACGAAGGAATACTCACTAACGTCGTGTCAACGCCACACTTGGATTCCTATTAGTTTTTGTTGAGTCATCAACTGTGATGAAAGTAAGCAAACTTAGAATTTTCGTTGTTCAGCTTCAGGTTGGTCTACCAACTTCAATGGGAACAATGCTCCCCATGGTCGTTGCACTGACAGTCGCACACAATTGTCTAACCGCCTAGCAGCCATTGCTGATCTGCGGAATACCAGCGGAATACCAGTTAGAACATTGCCTGTCTACGCCACCATGGCTAGACCGCTGAATAAGCCACCACCAGGTAGCCGCTAGCGATCACTAAGTATAGACCGCTTCATGTGCTGGTTAGTATGTCTATCCGCACTGGTTACGTCTTAAGCTTACCGCTGAATAAGCCACCACCAGGTAGCCGCTAGCGATCACTAAGTATAGACCGCTTCATGTGCTGGTTAGTATGTCTGTCCGCACTGGTTACGTCTTAAGCTTTGGATAATGTGGTAGCTAGCATCTCCTCCTTTGACAGACAGCACAATTTGCCTATTGGTCGGTTTCAGGTTGGAGACCAATCATCGAGGTTTACTCAGATGGGCATCAAGGCAGACCAGAAGGTGGTGCTCGACCACTTTCATTGGAGTGTCTGTCGCTTATGCTGGTGGCTTCTAACCGAAGTCCCATTGGTTTATGTCCCATGACCAATGAGAGTGTCAAGGACGCCAAATCAGCGTTCCTGGCCTCGCTAACTTGAAAGTACGTCACGCTATTTCGAAAATGCACCACGCTAAAAGCTTGGTACAATACACTAACATGCGTGTAAAATGGTATAGATTTGGAACGAGGTAAACCGGAGCCAGCAACCTGACACTATGAAAAGGTTGTTCGGCAAACCGGACACGCTGCCCGATTAAGCTGAATGGAAGTGGGATTCGTTGACCTGGTTTCGGGCCGCTGGCTTCTCAAACTAATGCTTTTACGTGTACAAATGTTGGGCGCTAAGATTTTGCTATCTGAGAGCTGCTACGTCCTTGGTCCTCACGTTCGAGCGATACTGAAAAAGTGAGGTCATGTTGGTTGAGTTGGCATCGCAAGGACGAAAAGCCGGTAACGGCAGAAGGTTAAGAGGCCGAATATGTCAAACATGCTGAAAGCATGTTTTAGTTTATGTACGATGTGTTTGTAAGCCAAGAAGCGCACCACACCGATGCATGGACCTGTTAAGCCGATATTTTACCTAATGAAATCCTCGTTCAAACCGGTGATCGACATCATGCAATCACTCCATCTTGCATCACAACCTCAAAGGAATTGTTTGGTGACAGCAATCATACCCAGTAAATGGCCCGAAAGTTAACTTTATGTTGGCTTGAAAACATCAGCACTTATACGGTGGCTGAAAATTTTGGTTGCTGGAGTTGGCTTCCCTGAAAAGATATAACAGATAACGTAGCACAGTTTACAAATTACGCGTCCGCCAATTTGTTTACAGTTTCGCGATACAAAACACGGATAAAGCGTTCAGTACAACCCAGCTTCCTTATGTTTGCCTGAACGCACAAACCCCTCGAGAGGAGCATGTATACAGATGGCTATTTTGTTCGGTATGAAGTGGGAAGGTGCATTGAGCAGCACCGTATTACTGATAGGACATTATGGGCTTATGCTTGTCAGAACATAAAGCACCAACTTGAACGCAGCGGTATCGGCTCCCGAAAACTACGAGCCGTCCCAGCTTGAACCTCGCGGACGGTCTCAGTCCAACTTGAGAAAGTTGGACTTACGGCTTCGCCTTTGGACCATCATCCGGCTACCAGGAGGAAAGGCCCTGTCAGTTTGGTTGGTAAACTGGGCAAAAAGCTTACCCCCTGGAAATGGCCGAAAAGTTAACGCCATGCAATTGTACTCGTCATTGAAACCGAAGGTGGTGTCAACGGACCTGAACCGTGTCAAAGAAGCCTAGCCACCTACAACTAATTCAGGTGCCGTGTACAGTTAAGGAGCAGTATACGCGCTGCCTTGTGGACGCACACGTGACCAGCGCAACGGCGCGCGTGCAGTGTCTACATGTGTTTCGGATGCTGACGATCAATACCGAGGAATGTTTCCCTCACTAAACCATTCTTTGGATACACGGTTTCTATTAGTTGGTGTGCATTGTGGTGTTGTGCCTTAGAGCCTAGTGTGCTTACATGGATACAACTGAAAGTGCAGAAGCATTTTTAAGGTATTCACCCATTGCGACAAGAGTTATTTCGCCTAAGGAGGGGGCTGATTAACACTAAATCAGAAGCATTATGGCCATTATATAAAGCAATGGTTAGGCCACATCTGGAGTATGGTGTTCAGTCCTGGTCGCCGTACCTCCGGAGTGACGTCATTTGTATATAAAAGATCCAGAAACTTGCGACCAGGATGCTCGAAGGTCAACGAGGGAACTCTTACGAAGATCGTCTAAGTAGCTAAGGATTATTTTCCTTGGAACGGCGTAGGTTGAGAGGGGATTTGGTAGAGAAATTTAAGGTCATTAAGAAACTTAGTGGCATTAGTTCCACCCATCTGCTTGAGTTGATTATGTCAGCCCGTCTGCGCGGGCATCGCCTGAAGCTCAAACGTCATTGAGCGCGTTTGGACATCAGGGCAAAGTTTTCACAACCCGAGTAGTTAACTACTGGAATCAACTTCCTTCTGCTTTAGTGGATTCTTAGACCATAAAGCCTTCAAAAAGGGCTTAGATTTTTGTTGGTCTGTCATTTTTCCAGAGGTATTGTAGGTGTACTGAAATATGTACTGTAGTTTGATGCTGGCTTATGAAGGTGCAGAGATTGCTCTTGTTCTTGCTTCATTCCATTGCAGAAGCAAGAAGATATAATCCAACCACGAAGTGCCGGGGCCGATTCACTTACTGGCACAAGAACTGGACGCTGGTTAGGCGGAAGCCTCTATCGTCCGTTTGACCTGACCTGACCTGCATCTGTGGCCCTCCACACGCTTGATCAAACAACTATAATTTCTATGGAAACTATTTATAACCAATTAAAAACAGTTGTAGATAATATAGAAGGACGCTTTAATAAACATTAAATATTTGTATGTTTTAATCATCCGTAGGGTAGTTTAAGATGATGATGAGATTACTCGATGTCTTGACTACGGGATTCCGGTAGAGGTCTGCTATCTTGACTTTAGCAAGGCTTTCGACTCAGTAAATCACCGTTTCCTACTTGAAAAATTAGCATGGTTCGGAGTACATCCTAGACTTCTGTCTTGGGTGTCAGAATTCTTATGTGGGAGAACGTTTCGAGTTAGAATCGGTGATGTGAGTTCTAGTGTGGGCGTGGCCTACAGTGGAGTACCCCAAGGATCGGTGCTAGGTCCACTTTTGTTTCTTATGTTTATAAACGACTTGGCTCCTCTTATTGAAGACCCCTGTTACATCTTTGCAGATGACTTGAAGCTAGTCAGCAGGGGCAACCGTGCAACACTGGCCAAGGATATCATCAGTGTGGCAAACTGGTCGAAGCAATGGGACTTGCCCTTGAATGCAAGCAAGTGCCAAATTCTGACCACTAGTAGAGACGTACTTGCAGTTCAGACTTCCTTTGGTCCCTTCCCCTTACAATGCACTACCCAGGCACGCGATTTAGGAGTCATCATGACGAGCAGCTTCAAGCCTTCGATGCAATGTCGATACGCCGCCAACAAAGCGCGACGAGAATTGTTTCGCCTCAGGAGGGCTCTGTGTAATACCAAGCCAGAAGTGTTCCTGCCACTATACAAAGCAGTGGTTAGGCCACACTTAGAGTATTGTGTTCAAGCTTGGTCGCCCTATCTCCGTGATGATGTTCTTTGCCTGGAGAAGATTCAAAGACTAGCAACCAGGATGGTTGAAGGTCAACGGGGGAAGCCGTATGAAGATCGCCTAAAGAGCCTGGGGTTGTTTTCCCTTGAACGGCGTAGACTGAGAGGCGATCTGATAGAAACATTTAAGATCATGAAGGGCTTCAGTGCCATCGTGCCCTCTGATTTATTTGAGCTGGCTGATTCTGAACGCTTGCGTGGACATCGCTTGAAGCTCAAACAACAGAGAGCTAGACTGAACGTCAGGGCTAAGTTCTTCTCAAATCGTGTAGTGCGCAACTGGAATAAGTTGCCTTCGGAACTAATGGATTGTGAGACTGTAGTTGCCTTCAAAGCAGGCCTAGACAGGTGCTGGCCGCGTATTTTTCCGGAATTAATATAATCCTATCCAATTTATTCGCATTGTTATCCGATGTTGATCCTTGTAAAAGCAAAGATTGCTCTCGCTTTTGCTTCATTTCTTTTTGCAGAGGCAAGGAGAGGCGATCAAAAGTCGAAGTGCCGGGGGCTCTGGTTCGCTTACCGGTACAAGAAGCTGGACGCTCGTTAGGCGGAAGCCTGTATCGTCCACGGATTTTGACCTGACCTGACCTGACCTGACCTGAACGTATACGCGTTACCATTACGAGCTACGTTAGCCGTCGTCGTCGTACCCCAACTGCCTAATGGTATACAACTACACAATACCCAGGGCTCCTGTGGCTGCTATGTACAGTGGTCCAGGACCCTGTTACCAAGTTCCTGGTCTGGTTGGTTACAGTAATCATGATGGACGTTCCACTCATGTTCGTGCACCGCAATACAGCTTTGGGGTCAGGCATGGATGTTTTACAGAGGCATGCGGACCTGGCCCGTGTTATTATCCGGATTCAAAAATACTGAATACTGGGAAGTATAATCCTCCACATTTCTCGCTTGCGAGCAGGCACAGAGAACCTGAGAAAGCTTTTTCACCTGGACCGGGAGCTTATAAACCAGAGCTTGGAGACCAGACCGTATATCAACGACATCCGGCATATTCACTTGGCTTACGACACCGACAGGATCGTGCGGATGATTATCCTGGTAATTAAATAGTTTATGTTGCTGTATGCTTACAACGCTATTCGAACAGGACCTAACCAGTACAAGGTTGATCCTATGCTCGGGAAAACAGTTCGCAGCCATAAACCTTCAGCTCCAGGTTATTCCATAGCGAGTAGACCGACAGAGCATCGGATCCATGAGGTACAATCAAATAAATTATTTTTTCATTCATTAGACCCCAGGCGCTGGAGCCTACCAAATTCCTAAACTGAATGTCTATAAAGAAGCCTCTCCAAACTACTCTATTGTGGCTAGAAACCAGGCTCCACAAGACAGCACGCAGAAGCCTGGTCCTGGAGCATATTCGACGGAGAACGTAAGATACCTGTAGTTATATTTTTGTACTTTCAACACACTCAATGAACCACGAGGGATGTTCTTTTTGCTGCTGACTCGTTTGACACCAGGTACCTCTTAGCTTAAAATATGTTCTAGGTTTCATGCCAGATTTGGTTTTCTGACAATACGCTGTGATTGAGACAAGCAGTATAGCGCTCCTCAAGTTCTTCTTATTCAAATAAATTAGGCTGAATTGTGGCAAGTTACTTTACAATACGCTTGCAGTCCAGCCTCCTTTTGCTGCTGCCTAGTCCACAAACGCAGTCGGAAGCTGAGCTTCAAGACGCCAGCAGAGCTACAACCGTTTTAAACTTTTGATTAGGTCGGGTACTCGTGCTGCTTTTTTTGGAAACCATGACTTCTGCAAAGCACTTAACCTTGGTTTCGAGTAAGCATAGAAGAGAAAAGCCATTCTAACCAATACGGGTAAATTGATAAACTAACGACATATAATAAGCTTAGCACTACCGACCATAATAACCACAGAATTCTATGCAGGGTTCCAAAGATTATGACCCTATTGGCTCAAGTTCTTGTCCGGCTACTTAACTGCATAGTGGGAGTCGAGGGTGAATTCATGTATACCACTCTGTAACTTGCTAAGAAGGCGTCGCACGTCCCAATTTTCCACGATGGAGGTGTTGTTTTGTTTCGAAGGTGCTTTCGGCTAGAGCAATAACCCTAGGCTTACTGACAGTTTTGCTCTAACAGATGTTATCTTTTATTACTTTAACCTCCTACGTGCACTCAAACGATCTTCGCACGTTACGTTGCGTTCTACGGTGGTTTAGCGGACGCCTTACCTTCAGCAAGTTGCTTATGAAACGGTTTCCCATTTTCCTAGGTTCTGTTTTACTTTGGCAAGTATAATCCAACAAAGTATTTCTATTTGTAATCCTGAGATATGGGCATTGAAATGCTAATTATTGGAAAATTAACTGATCACAATTATGCGGACGGTACGTTTTGCATTTTGACGGCGACATTGTGGCGCACACAATATGCGTATATTAAATGGTACCATCTTACCATTTGTCTTGCACTTATCATTCTCATGGTCACTTAATGACCACTTAGCTTTGGAAGAGGCAAATCTAAAAGTAGATGAAAAATTTGGCTGTTTTGGCAACCAATTTAACGGTAACTGGTATGGGGTTACGTATGTGTTATTAGCCGTGTGAGCTACTTAGGAGTGACAAAAATTACTTATTTGGTCTGAAAGTACGTGTGTACAATGTTACTATAATGATAATCTTAACTTAATGGTAGCGAGAATTTACCTCTTCGGTTTGGTAATTTAAAACATCAATTGTTTCAACGTTTTCTGTGAGGGCTCTGTTACGAGCTCGAATTAGTATGTTTGCGACAATCACATGCACGTGAAAGCACTTGGCAGGAATGCACGGTTTGTTTTATGGAACAACCAGTGTTTTGCTATAAGTTGCGGTGGCTTGGGAGCGTGTTCCGTGGGCACACTCGCCCCTCACCGGGAAAGGCCATGCTCGGTTTATCAGAGATCTGCAGCCGCAAGTCTCGAGCATGAGACGTGTCTATATGATATAAATCACTGAAGTAACTTCCGACTGAACTAGGTATTGTTGATCTATTCGTCCCCTCAAGGCTGGAGTCCACACGATTCAAATGTTGCTTAGAACGAAAATCTACTGTACATAGCTGGAAGCCGGCCGCAGTGGTGGATCTACTGTCATCTCCTATTTAAATTGGGTCAGCTAATGTATGGTCTGGGAAATAGCGTTTTAGCAAGACACAGAGTAGTAATGCCGCGTGGTCGCTATTTTGCGATACGAGTTTAGCTTTGCAAGGAACTCAACTGTGTTTGGCTGAGTGCCTGACAAGGGCAGTTACCTTAACCACGGTTGTTTGCTTTTGATGTTTATGTTTTCCCTAAACCCACAGATTTCTCCTCTTACTATTTTTCAATTGTTTGTCGGTTGTAATCGTACGGTAGTAAAGTGTTAATTTCGATTACTAATGTGCTTCTGCTGCTATTATTTTTGTTCAGCAGCCTTTAAAAAGCATGCTTTAAAACTATGATGCCTAGTTGCAAACGCTTTGCTGTAAACTTATTGCAACTTTCTTGGAAAACTAATAATTACAGACGAACTCATGTGTGAGCTAGACTTCAGTGCCACCATAACTTTGAAAAGAGCGCAGCAAAGTCCCTCAACCTTAATCATGGAATAATTGCACATCATTCAACACCTTTACGGCTTCACGGTACTATTTTGCTGTCTTACGCAACCTACCCAGCTACGAGCCATTTAGGTGTTGCAGGGCTACATTATCATCAATAGTCATTATTTTATCGACTGAAGTAGGAATAATAAAAGCCCCACTTACTTTGCTGCAACACAATTTAATCAGCTGCACATAAAAAGAGAAGAAAATACGAGAAGAAATGAAGAACGCAATGCAAGTGTAACAAAACGTACTGTGCACTGTTTTGTTGGCTAAACCAAATGCGGCTTGCTAATTTACTTAAAACACAAACGTCGTTGTGGCTAGTTTTTCAACATGCAAGGTATTTTTAATTAAACAGCTTCCCTAGCATTTGGACCACAACCTGGTCAAGGAGGCACAACTAAGGGCCAACTTGGAATGAGTGACTTTATTATACTTGTGTAAATTATTGCTTAGCCTCCACTCCGCTGCTTCTATCCGGATCTCAGACTCACAAACATAGCGCGTTGAGCGGGTTTACTTGGTCGCACGCGCCATAAGTGGCGTAGACATGTGCGCCTAATAAATGCAATGATATTACCCAACTGGTTACTACATGTTTTTGCAGCGTCCGCAGCACGCAGAACACGTTCATTTCTCACGCGGTGTTTTCACCGGTGGTGAGTTGAACTTCAAAGACAATAATGGTTGCACGTAACAAGCCTTTTTACATCTGTCAACTTGACGGGTTCTGTTTCGTAACTATGTAGTTGAGTTTAATGCAGTTTGGAATTGTAGGCTGTGCACTTCAGAGCCACTGCAATATCTTGCTGGTTACACAAATGGCGAAGGTTGGCACAAGCATCTTGAAATTTTGTTACATGGTTCGTGCGCTCCTTTACTATCACACAACTGCTGATACAGTTGTCCAGACATTTATATTTCCGAATGATTGCTAGCTAATCCCTACCCAAGATCAGCGTAACGTGCGGTTAGTGTTGATCACAGCAAATAACCTTTACATGAATTTGATGCAAAGCACAGAACTCAGTGGTTGCTAGCAAGTGTTAAGCCGATATTACATGTAAAACATTACCTTTTAGTCTGTAACTCAGTTGGCTAGTTGTTGCATGACTGTAGGTGGCTGCTTCAGTCTCCCAGCTTATAACTATATGTTAAAAATATATGTGCATATGTGACGTAGACAAACCCTTTTGAAAATTAGAGAAACATATTTAGGCGTTAGAGCAACTAGCTGAACCTCTCCAGGTTTTGCTTGGGTAGTAATCATTAACAAACACATTATACTTGGATGCATCATGGATTTTAGTTTCATGGCTAACTAGTCTTTCTAACTATTTGCAAGTATCGAGTACAAAAGTTGCTACTTTTGGCAGCAACGAATAACCGTTATTCCTCAATGTCGAATTATCAATCGCATTTTAACTAACGCTTATTAGTATAGATAACGTTTGCACACTTAGCATGCATTACTGTTATCCTAGGTTCTTTGTAAAGTGACACAATTTAGATATATTAAATTTGCTACTGTTACTTAGCAGATGGACTAGTAGTTTCAAGTGGCATGTGGTGTACCCGCTGTGTGGTTGGATTGTGACTCACAATCGCTATTCAGACCTTGGTCCTCTTTTAAGTAGACCTCGGCCATTACGATCACAAGCACCGTATTCGAATTGGTTGTTCGGTGTTGCTCCTCCCAACCCTGACACCCCAAAACCGGTTTCGTCCTCCTTTGTACGCATCAGATGGAGTTAGCCTGAGTTGGGGGTGTATCTCGTGGCCTAGTGTTCAAAGTTGACGTCTTGACCACTATGGCGCTAAGATTTGCGTGCAAGGTTTCGCACAGTGCTACAGAAGTTTAGTTGGCAGTTGGTGTACCCAGTGTTGATTATATACTAAACACAAACCTGCAATGCATTTTTGTATTTTTCCAGTAAACTATTACTACGAATACTACTACTACTACCACTACTACTACTACTACTACTACTACCACTACTACTAATACTGCTACTATTACTACTGCTGCTGCTACTACTACTATTACTACTACTGCTACAACAACAACAACAACTACTACTACTACTACTACTACCGGTATTCAGCCACTCACACCTTGGCTGAACAGGTGAGATACTCCAGGCGCAAAGTCGCGATAAAGTGCAGTGAGTTCTCAATAATCTGCAAACGAACAATAATAAAACTGCGGAATCGAAACAGACTTTATTAGGATTTATATATGTATTAACAGTGAGGTCGTGGTCAGAGGAGGTGGCTTAGTGGTGTGCCATTGTTTGTAGCAGTAAGCAAGACAAAACTTTTAACAACTGCATACTTGAATTGCCAAGCACTTTTAGCCCGCTGTCCTAGAGATTACAGGAACATCTGTTATAATTCGGTTTTGGCAACAGTCAGCCTTGGATAAATAAATAAATACCCGTTGTATTACTCGATGATGCGATGCACAAGGTACGTGAGTGGACTGAGCACCTTACCATGGTGCGATGGCCTGTGTGCCTCAGTGATTCATTTAGCTATGCTTTGTAGTGCTACTTGTATTTCCAGAGCCATTCATATCAGATTGGTCACGGACTAGAGGCCAGACAATGTCTCCTGACCTTCCAGGTTAGGGTTTGGAGTAAGGTTGTTTCCTTACTCTTTAAAGCGGACTTGCTGTAGTCCCCTGCCAAATCCGCTGTCTTGCGATCAAGCTTTTGAATCAGAAGCATTGGTCTGCATACCTACTTGTTCTCCTCTTTAGGTCTGGGCACCCTG